ATGGGAAAAGCTTGTTGCTAGCAGGCGCGGCTGTGACACCACCTGACCTCCAATCAAGGCGCAAGAAAGTAGCCTCCACCAATGGATGGTAAAAAAGAGTTGACAGACAGACTTTGGGAAGGGCCAGGGTTAGTGATGTAACCACAGGGGTAGAAAAGGCGGAGCAGCCACTGTGTAAACAAGCACATGGCACTTTGATTCCATGCTTTCACTGGTGCAATTTTTCTTTATTCAGTCTTGTTGTATTTTATAATAAACCTCTGAAATTTTAAAAGTCAGCATCCTTTTTTGTGAGGTAGTATTTTCTTCTAGTTACTCAAAATTATTCATATTCAGTAACTACTCCAACAGCAAATAAACCCACAAGCTCCTCCGAGACAAATCAAAATAGGACAGAACCTCCATGGAAAATATACCTGTTTTCTAGGAACTGCACAGAAAAATGTCTCCATGTTCTCTTCACTTAAAAGCCTGGGTAAATCCAGGCTCATAATCATGATACCCAAGAATTTGCTGCCAGAGTGAACACATCAAACTCCAACACACAGGGACTCAAGGACACAAACTGCACACACATCCCTCACACCCATGCTTGGGACCACCTTCCTGCTGTAATATATGTTAGAAATAATTCATGCTATAAAAGAATGTATTTTATAAAGATTGCAAAATCCAAACGAGTCTCAGACCACAAGCGGCCAGAGAGGCCGACGTCTATTCAAATTCTGAAGTTCCTGAAGGTGGCAGGAGAACAATCGGCAGTTAGCTCATGAATAGACGCACCCAGCGTGATGATCACTGTTATCCCGAGCCATCGGAAGACGCAAGACCCCTAAGAGCGATCATCGATCATTGCCCTGTTGATAACATTGATCAAGATAGCCAAAGTCGCCAGAAAGATGCATGTGAATATGCGACTTCTTGGATTTGATCAACGCTGGCTGTCGACCAGGAAACGGCGATTGTCCAGCTCTGCACAGTGAAAGAACCAACTATGAAAAGTTACAAAAGAAACTTGGACTCCTTTGCCTCAGGCATAATAAACTGTATAAAATATCCCCGCAAGAAGCGGCTCTCGTGATCGAGGGGGGGTCCGATGCGATAGAGGTGAGATCCAGGTTCACCGAGCGCTGATCCAAGGCTTGATGCTGTCTCTTTGGCTGTGGTGGTTTTGAGGATCGTATTTTGGTGACAGAAAAAGATAAATCTTTTTGCATTTTTGATAAGTTGGCTTTCGATTGATCATTTATAACACTGCTGAGCTGAGGACAAGAAGCGACCAGAATAGCCTGGGCACTCCAGCTTCACTGCAAGGCATCCGGCAGCCTTGAAGGTACAAAGCGAGCACAGGTCGGAGCTCCTCGTGTCCGGAGCGAGGCCGGAGGAGCCCCCACCACGGAGCTGACACGGCCCCGGCCCGGCCCCGCTGCGCTCCGAGCGCGGCCCCGGAGCGGCCCGGCCGAGGCGGTGAGGGACGGGCGGTGAGGGGCCGGGGGATGGGGCACTCCGGGAATGGGTGGAGATCCCGGCAGAGGGGAGAGAGACCTGGCAGAGGGAGGAGTGAGAGGGAGAGCAGAGAGATGCTGGGAGGAGGGGGAAAATCCCAAGAGAGGGGAACGAGCCTGGGAGTAGGGGAGATCACGGGAGAGGGGGGATGAGATCCCTGGGAAAGGGTGGGTTGCCTTCCAAGAGGGTAGAGCCGGAGAAAGAGGAGAGAGACTTGGGAGAGGGCGGAGATCCTGGAAGAGGGAGGAGTAATTGGGAGAAGGGCAGATCCAGGGAGACGAATAAAAGCACTGGCTACAGCCTGGGAGAGGGAGGAGCTTGGGACAAGGGGTAGCTCGGGACTGAGGAAAACCCAAGAGAGGAGGGAGAACCCAGGAGATGGGGGAGAACCTGAGAACAGGGGGGAGATCCGGAGTAGAGTGGAGAGGGACAGGGAAAGAGGGGAAAGACATGGGAGAAGCGAGCCCAGCGGCGGGAGTTCGGGAGTGGAGGCTCCTGCAGGCGGACCGGGAAGCCGGAGAGCCCGGAATCAGGGAGTCCTGCAGCCGGGCCGAGAATGGGCGCGGGTCAGTGCGGTTCAGGAGAGCGCGGCTGCGGGGCTGGCTCCGGAGCCGCAGGCGCGTGGAAAGCGCTGCTCGGCAGCCCCGGCGGCGCTGAGAGCACAGCCCTGCCCGGGGAGGCAGCGCCACGGGCGCCGCTCGGCTTCCCAGCGAGGCCTCGGCACCGCTCGCCTTCGCCGCCGTATCCGCGGCAGCTCGGAGCATCGGTCCCTGCCCAGGCCCGAGGCTCACCTGCGCCAGGTGCACCAGAGCATCGCCTCTGCCTTGACAAGCCACAAGGAGCAGTGCCGGGCAGGGACTGCAGATCCCCATTGGTGGCAGAGAAAAAAGAGCAAGGAATCTTCCGTGGGAGAATATAGGCAATAGGATGAGGTGTCACTGTCAAATGTGTTCAGGTGCACTCACAAGGATACTATTGCTCTTGGCCCAGAACATGGAAAAGAAGTGGGCAGACACAAATCACAAGCTGGTTGCAATATCCAGGGATCAGTTATCAGAATAAAATGCTATGCAACTGCTGGAATGCTTAATGGATGACTAATTACCCCTTGCTAAGTCATCTGGACTTGTTAGTCCAGATGACTTATCTCTCAAAAATTACTCTAGAGCTATGATTAAGAAAATTTTGAAGAAAGGCTCATAGACCCACATTTTAATGCAGTTGCTGTGGGTTTGATAAATGAAATCTGCTTTAATGTCTTGATTTTTCTAAAGGTTTGTGGGGTGTTTTTCACACACGCATGCATGCTAAATTTGAGACTCTAAGGTAAGGTCTTTTCATAGGGGATATGGAAGAGACAGGTCTTCAGTCAGCAATATGTCAGTGAGAGACAGCTGAGCGATGATTACTGAGAAGAAGAACAGCCCTGCAATAGAGGTGTGAGCCCTGGCTGATACTCAGTAGAACCACCTTAGGCAGGATCAGTAACAAGCTTTTGAAGAGTGAAGGGCCTAATCCTTTGGTGCGGTACTGTATGGACTTTGGGATCACTGCACCATTGCAAATAGGTTCCCTTTCCAGCAGAAGAGACTTCCATCTGCTGCCTCTGCCGAGACACTGGGAGGGACAGAGTGAGCAAGGCTCAGTCAGCTCGCAGGGTTATTTGCACAGAGGGGCTGCAACAATACGAGAAGCCAAAAGCAAACAAGCTCATAGCCTGATTCCAGAACTGCTCAAGCATCTGTGTCCTTGCTGGCAAGACAAGAAGGTGCTTCAGACCTTAAATGCAGCTTCATCCTTTGCAGGACCAGCCCAAAATGTCAAGATCTAAAATAGAAAGATGGGGGGAGGGGGGTTTGGGGTTTTTTTTTTGCTCACTGGGTGGGAAATGCTTCAGTTGCAGTTTTGAAGGGCTTGCCTGGGTTGTCATACTAAAATGCAGGAAAAAAAAAAAAAAAAAGCTGTGCTTTTGCTTAATGAAGCCACATTGTATCTGTTTTTCAGAAAGGAATAAAGAAAACACAGATTACCTACTGAAATTATTCTCCTCCCTTCCAAATCAGTTCACTCCTCAAGCACAAGCCGGAGGCACATCCCCGACTGCCTCTCTCCCAGCAGCTCAGAGCAGCATTGCACAGCGCTTGCTGTGTGCCAGAGAGCACAAAGCAGGCTGGCCTGGTGGGCCTGAATATTTCTGCCAAACACTCTGCATCTCACACATTTGCTCTGGCTGAATGCAGAACTGCAGGATTGCAGGTGCTTCCTGCCAGAGCTGTGTGAGGCGCTGGCTCCTGCAGACGTGCCCTGCCAAGCTGTCCCTGCCTCACGCTGGCCTCGCTTGCCCTGGCAGAAGTGCCGGGCCTGAAGGAGGCTGCCCTGTGCTCCAGCCTGCCGAGCAGCCCGGCTCCCTGCCCCGGTGCCCAGAGTGCTGCACACACTGCTGACCTTGGCCAGGAGTTGCAGGGCAGCCGGCAGAAGAGGAGGAATCCTGAGCCAGCCCAGCGGCCCTCGGCTGCCCTTGGCCTTTCTCTGCTCCTGGGCACACTCCAGACGGCCAATGCCTCCAGGCCGGGCTGTGCCCAGCACGGCTGCGCTTCCCCTCGGCAGCAGCCAGCTGCCACCTGGGCTCTGAGAGCGCAGGATTCGCCCGCTCCCAGGAACAGGCACCCAGGGCCCGGCTGCTGCCTCTTGCAGCTCCAAGGGCCTCCTTCCAGCCTGCCTCTGCCGGGGCTCAGCCTGCTCCCGCCTCTGCCGGGGCTCTGCTGGGGCTCCAGCCCGGGCAAGGCCGGGCCCGCTCTCACCTCACAGGCGCTCACAGCTCTGCACCTCAGGAGACCTTGCCGAGCAACCTCTGTGATCTTTCTGCTTTCTCACTTGAGCAAGGCTCTCCTCCAGACAAAGACATTGCACCCAGGGATCCAAATCCAAGTGGCAGGAGCCCAAATGCTCTCCAGTCACTGCTGAACGCCTGCATCTGCACAAGATGTTTGGCCTGCCTCATTCCTCCTTTGGTTTTGCCTTCAAATGCCATTGCCCTTTCTGCCTCAAATAGAAGTACCAAAGCTGGCCAAAAACAGACCAGCGCGCCATATTCCAAAGGCAGTGTGGTCTGGAGAGGATGGATGGAGAAGATCCTTCCCCACTTTCACACCATGCCAAAGACACTGTGTCACTTTCCACCTTTAAGAAACAACAGACAATTCAGATGGAATTCTCGAGTTTATTTGCAGAGTGAGAAGGAAGGGAATCTTCAAGGCAAGTTGTGGTTTCAGAAACTTTATTAATTTCCAATCCTACTCTGCAGTCCTATTACACAATCCTACTCTAACCCTAACCTTAATCCTAATCCTAATCCTAATCCTAATCCTAATCCTAATCCTAATCCCAGTCCTAGTCCTAGTCCTAATCCTAATCCTAATCCTAATCCTAATCCTAATCCTAACCTACAATTCTACTCTAAGAAGGTTGAGGAATAAATGATCCTGATGTGATTGTCACATTCTTGTCTCCTTCCTCTTCTTCACTGAAACAATCAGTGGCACCAGGCTGGACGCAGGCTCAGCAAATCTTACAAATGGATGCTGCCCAAAGGGAAAGAAACCAAATCAACACAAACCAAGGAACCATGACTTTCCAAGCTCAGTGCTTCACAGGATTCCTCTGGCTCCTAGAAAAATGCAGGAAGAGGACCAATGGGACAATCTACACTTCCATCTTTATGTGCAGGACTTTGCCATCACAGGCAAACCTGGCCCAGAATCCCACTCATCCATTCATCCAGGTGTCTTCATCTTGCTGAGATTTTTGCCCTGCAGTGCTGTAGAAATGGTGCTTTCTGTCCTTGGAGTTTCTTCTTTTCAGGAAACTCCAATGACTCACATAGGTCCCTGCCTTTGCAAGACAGGCACTGTGCTGATTCCCACAGGGAGACAGAGCAGTGTCTGCCTTTCCACGCCCTGCCCCTTGTGTGCTGGATGGCACCCTCCTTCCCAGCAGGGCCAGCCCAGTGGCACTGGGCCCTGCAGTTCCCTCTCTGCCACACAACCTGGCAGTAACCCTGGCACAGTTCCCATCTGCTTGAGCGTGCCAGGCAGCAGATGGGGCTGGGACAAGTCCCTCCCAGCTGTCCCTGTTTGGGTGCCAGAAACCTCTAAGGGTGGGCTGGGGGGCACAAACCAGGGCCCCTCAGAGGCTCCCAGTGAGCCCCCCACAGCCCCTCCTGCCCACAGCCAAATCTCTGACTGCTCAGCTGGGACTGGCTTCCTTGGGTTCCACCACCACCATTTCATGTCTCTGTACCCTGCATTGCTCTGCTTCAATTCTTTTGCTGTTAGATAAAACTGAACACCCCACCAAATTACAAAAGAGGGCAACAGAAACAGAAAACAGAGCAGCTCTCGTCTCAGGAAATGAGGAGAGAGGTGGAGTTATTCAGTTTTGTCAAGAACAGGCCCGAAGGAGACTTTACTGTTGCTTTCCAAGACTTCAGAGTGGTTTTGAAGAAAGTGGGGGACATCTTTTTTAACAGGGCTAGTAACAATAGGATGTGGGTGAATATTTTTAAAGAAAATGGGGATCAAGTCAGAGTAGGTCTAAGGAAGAACTTGTTTACTCGGAGCATGGTGCAACCCTGGCACAGCTTGCCCCAAGAGCTTGTAGCTGCCCCATCCCTGCAACCATTCCAGGTCAGGTGGGACTGGGCGCTGAGCAACCTGATCTCTTTAAAGATGTCCTTGCTCTTTGCAGGACACTTGGACCAGAGGACATTTACAGGACCCTGCCAGCCCAGCCCAGTCTAGGATTCCTCACCATTTTCATTTGAAGAGCACCAAGAGTGGAGGTGAGGAGGAAGGGGGCTCATCTGATGCCTTGGACTTGAGTGGAGGAGGAGCCCATCCCTCAGAGCCTGTTTCACCTGCAGCCCCTTCACATTTTACCTGCAGGAGCTCCTTGGCAGACCAGCGCTGCTCCTCATCTGTCTGCAGGCAGCAGCTCAGGAAGTCACGCAGCAAAGCTGAGAGGAGCTTGGGCTGCCGCAGTTTTGGGGTCCCTACTGTGGCTATCAGGCGTCGAGCCTGGAGGAAAAAAAAAAAAAACACGAGGCTCCACCTGCTGCTTTCACATCTCTAAGGCTCTCCCAGATCCCTTTTGTTTAACCTCTGTTCTTCAGTGGCAGTTTCTGCCCTTGCAAAGACCCAGAGATGACTTTCCTTTACCAACCAAAAACCCAAACCCCGATGCAGTTACAGCTTTTCCACCATCCCGCGGATCTTGCCTTGGCAGCTGATTTGATTGACTAACCTAGTTAGTGGGAACTACATCAGCAAAAGCACGTTTGCTTCTCTGAGGATTCATACCAGGTTGAGAGGCTTTTTGGAAGCTGTGCTATACAAACTAATTTCAAGGGTTAGTACATGAAAGGCATCTCTGCAGTGCTTGTTGGTCCTTTAAGCACACATGCCATAGAACAAAACTCATCAAGCTTTTTGTGCTGTTCTTGAAAACAATGGGAATTGGAAGGAAAGAAAGGAAATCCATCAGTTAATCCCCAGGGAAGGAAACAAACATTTACAATGTCATCTTCAACACAGACACATTAAGATGCCTGCACAAATGTATTGGGGTGAAAATGCCTACTTGGCCACACAGGGGCCACCTGCAGCTCTGTCTCTCAGCAGTCTGAAAATTTCAGCTTCCCTCCCATTTTGCAGCAAAAGAAAAATTGTCATGGTCAGAAGGAGGAGAGGTGCCATCCCTATGGTCACCCTCTGCTCATTTGGCTACTCAAGTCAATACATTAATGGTAGGCCCATCCCAGAAAGTGCCAGGAAACAAACAGGAGCTTTTGGCTGGCTCTCCACATCACCAGGCTCTGGCTTGGTGATGCAGAGAACGGGCCTTGGGCTAGGAGAGAAACACGGTCACTAAATGCAGTGCAGCAGCACTGCACAAGAGGCAGAAGAGACTCTGTGGCCTTTACACCCTCATGCCCAGGTTTCAGGCATGTTTCCCAGTGAGAAGAAACTGAAGAGGGGGTTAGGTTCCTCTCTAAAGACCACAGTTTTAGAAACTTTGTTGGGTTTGGGTTTCCTTCCTTCATTTATGGAAAGATAACAGCAGTTCTAAGGTGCTTGTTTCCTGTTACTGGGGCCATCTCCACAGACAAAAGAACTGGAACCACTTATAACCCAAGGGAAAGTGTTTCCTGAGAATGGAGTTTGTTTGCATGTGGTAAGGCTTGAGTTCGACCACTGATGTATCCAAATCTACAGCAGATGCTGATGTGTTGCAGGGACATTTTTAGGAGGGAAAGTAGTGGAAGTAGAGGGAAACTTGATGGAAGTAGTTCCAGCAGATGGCAATGGGATTTTGTCCAATGGCACACAGGACATGGGACAGGCGAGAAAGGCAGTGGGATGAGTGAGTATTTGCTCCTTACCGAGGCATGACTTTGGTCCCAGTAAGGAGGTTCTTTTTCTAACATTTCAATCCCCACAATTCCAAAAGACCATATGTCCACTTTGGGGCCATATGGTTGACCTGTCACCACTTCAGGTGCCATCCACCAAGGAGTCCCGGCTACCAAGCATGGTCTGCTCTGCTCAGGGGTGAGCTGAGTAGAGAGGCCAAAATCAGCTGAGGAGAAAGCAAAATACTGGTTTTATTTCAATTCTGTGCAATTAGGAAAGCAAGCAAAAGAATTCCCCAGTAGAAGTTTGAAAATGTGCTGTTGAATCTCCTGGCATTGGCGACTTAAAAAATTCCCCCATTTTTTACACTGCCTCCAGCAGTGGCTTTTGTTCTTTGGAAACTTTAGACTTGTAGCTCCCTCCCTCTGCAAGGGACACACACAGAGCAAGGCCACCCTTGACTGCTTGTTCCTTGTCCTACCTCTGTGCACGTTGCAACTGTGCCCTCAGCTCACAGCAGGTGTCCCTGCACTGCCACCAGCACCATTTTTGGGGAGCTGGCAGTCACTCAAAGCAGCCCCACACCCACATCCCTGGAATGCTGCACATAACCAAGAATATACTGACCCAGCTTGACAGAACCGTCGGTTCTGAGAAGGATGTTGTCGCTCTTCACATCTCGGTGGATCACGTGGTTTGAATGAAGAAAATCCAGTCCTTGCAGGCACTGAGAGAGAATACAGAAAGAGGAGGGAAAAATGAGTGATGGGATTTCCTCACACAAGAAAGGAAACAAAGAATCTAAAAGATTCCCTCTCCAGGGGAATGGAGAGTAATGGCAGAACACAGTGCCACTGAGAGGAAGAGCTTGCTGCTCCAACACTTGCAGAGCAGGTCCTTTCTGAGGAAAGGCACGTCAGCTTTTGAAAGAGCAACAGCACCTGCTGTTGTAGGCTGTCCCCTGCAAACCAGCCAGAATGACTGCTGCTGCAGTGCATGTGCTCAGAAGCAAAGAGCATTTGGGCTGCACTCCTATCCTTTTTAGCTGAGGACTGAGAGAAATGAGTCTCTCTTTTTTCCTTTGCTGCTTGTTTCAAATCCTGCCACCAGCACCTTTGCTTTCACAGGCAAGGAATGCAGTGAAGACAGGCAAAAGTTTAGCGAGGCAAGATAGAGAACAGCAAATACAAGAGACAGAGCGAGAGTACAACAGCAGGAGATAAGAGTACTGGCACTGAGTACAGGGAGTGCAGGGGCACTGGCAGGCCTTTCACTTGAGGTGCTTTTACTTGCCCATAGCATACCAGCAACACAGAAACAAAGCTTGGAACAGGAAATCACTCCTGTTCTGAGCCCCTGTTCTCAGACAATCCTGCCCAAGCCCTCAGAAGCACAGATGGGATTGCTGACCTCCCGACTGATGGCTGCAATGTGGTCTTCAGACAGGCAGGTCTTGTGGATGACGTCACTCAGGGCGCCTCCATCCATGTACTCCATAACCAGCCAGAGTTCCTCGCCCAGAAGGTAGCTGAAAGAAGGAAACAAGGGCATGGAGATAAACATGCATGGCTAGCTTGACTTTTTGCCTCCAGGTTTCTTGTTTCCAGGTGCCTTTGTGACTAGGACAGAATCAAAGGAATAGACAATCTGCAGTCTGTGCAGTTCTGGAGGAGAAAGACACAGCTGTGAAAAAGGAGATGTCTTAGATAGCCAGCAAGTGAAAAATGCAGTTTAGTAACAGCCCAGGTAAAAACCTGTCAGGCATGGTGTTTCTGGAAATAAGCACCTCGTCTTCCTGGCATGCACAGCAATGGCAAAGAGGGGCAACGATCTAAGGGAAATCCACTTTAGGATGGTCCATCAGCATTTAAGAAACTTTAAAAAATCAATCCCGAAAAAATGTGGAGGCAGTGTACTTAGGAAGATACAGTTGATCCAGGTTTTGAATAAGTTTGAAATAATTTTCAAACGATGAGTGGCAGGGAAAACTCAGACAGACAAGATGCACTCTCTTCTCATCTATTGGAGATGAGTAGAGAAATATGAATAAATAAAAATTAACAGCTCTACTTTCTGCCACTAATCCAAGTGGGTTTTTAACCTCTCATGTTTGCTGTATGTAAATGCCCATCGATGGGATAAGACCATGACCTCTCACCTGTCTAAATAATTCACAACACTAGGACTCCTACACCTCTTCATGATCATGATTTCATTAACAGTTAGTTGCTTCTTCCTCAGTCCTTGGAGATTTATTTTCTTTATGGCCACCTAAAATGACATTGAAAATCAGTAACTCGAGAAGTTGGTGGCACGAGACCACAACGCACATGGAGCGAGTGATTTTGCAATGACACAGCTGAGCTGTGCCAAACTGCCTTGTGATGAGGCACTGCAGTCATGAGGAACTGACATTCCAACAGCCCATTTCTCTGCTCCCTTGGGGGCCAGTTACAGCACACGTGGGGCCACTGACATTTTGCCTTGACCACTTGGTAACAGTGGTGTCTCAGCTATCACCCACAAACCTCTGACCACACTCTCTGCTGCTTTGGATGGGATTCAGAAGAAGTAATCCATGCCTTAATACTCTGTGGATACATCTTGGGCTATGGGCAGGGCTTAGGGCTTTTAGGGACACCTTGCAGGTCTCTCCCTCCGTGCAGTTCCCAAGTGCAGCACTGCAGGTGGCTAAGGAACTACCAGCAATTTTCAGATGTATTTGCTGGCAGCCAGAAATGAGGATCCAAGACTCTGAAGCTGTAGCCCCAAAGAGCAGTGAGGTGCTCAAAGGCACCACCTTTGTTTTAGCAATGGAGAGCGAGCGAGCACGTCCTTCTCTGAAAGGAACTGGTGCCCTCCGTGCCTTCCTTCCGGCAGCTGAGGAGGACAAAGTCCCAAATGTATTTTGCAGGCTGGCACCAGTCTGTGCTTCTTGTGCCTTTTCAGCACAGCTCTGCCCAAAGCTCCAGCCACAGCTCAGACCAGAGGGGAAAGCTCCTCAAGAGCAGCAGAGTTTGCAGGGCCTGTTGACATTTACCTCTCCTCCTGTGACATTGTTGAGTGCTCTGACCACATGTCCAAAACCCCTAGAAACAAAACAGAAGCAGAGAAAGGAGAAGCTGTTTAGCTCCTAGAGTGAAAGCCAGCCCACACAGGAGATCTCTGCTGGAAGTGTCAAAACCTGCAGGATGCAGGAGGGCTCTGCCAGAAGGCAGATGATGCATTTTCCTCTCAAGTGCATGGGCACTGGGCCTGTTCCTGAAGCACTGGGGTTCAACTTCTAAAGGGAGTTTAGTCTTTCCTCTTGGGTTTCACTTTCTAAACTGTGTGGTTCCTATCCTGACCACAGAGACTTTCCTTCTGCAAACCAGGGGGAAGAAATGTTCCTGGCAACTGTTATCTTAAAGCTTTGATGGGGGTAGGTTGCTCTTTCAGGCAAGCAAGTTTCTTCTTTTTTCATTGGTGTGCCAGTATGATTTTGAGACATCCAAAAATGCTAAAGAAATTAACACAGAGCTGTCCCACACTTGAGAGACAAGGAGATCTTCCAGGTCCTGTTCCTTAAAGCAGGCAAGACCTTGGCAACATGGAGATGTCGCTAACAATGCCTTCTGAGCACACTCACAAATTCTGAGCAGCACTGAGAGATGGGACAATCTATCCCCAGTGTGTGAACATCTTTGCAGCTTGCCTGACTTCACGCTGGATAGACATTCCACCAGAAAAACACCTGGCCCATGGTTGTGCAGGAGTAACTGCGGTTGGACTCACCCGCTGCCAATATATTCCAGTTCAGTGTATTTCATCATGGGATTTTCCTGGTTCACCATTCTCCCTGAGGGAAGCAAAATGCAGGATGCTGACTTGAAAGCAGAGATCCCAGCTTCCAGGAGATACAAAAGGCAGCCCCACTCTCTAGGGCTCTGAGCCCTTTGTGCTCAGCTGGGTAACAACAATCACAACAGCAACAGCAACAGGACAGGCAGCCCTGCAGTGCAGATGGCTGGCACAGAGACTGATTTTGTACAGTCCTTTGAAGAGTTCTCTTGACAGGAAAGAAAGCACAGGGAGATGCATTTCCACGAGAGGAGGACATCTTCTCCACCTTTCAGCAATTTGCCAAAAGAATGCCTTCCCATTTGTAAACCAGAGCAGCTCATGCTACAGCTAATCCCAAAGGGCCTTTCAGCATCAGGACCCTCACCTGTTTATGAGCAGGCTGAGCTCAAAGATGCCCCTCTCCCTGCTAAGGAAGGCTCCAGCCTCTGCAGTCCCAGCAACCCTCAGGGACAGGGCAGCCAGCACAACAAGGCTGGCAAAGCCCAAGCATGAGCACTGACAGGCACTGATGGGAAGAAGCCAGAGTGAGCCTGAGCCCCTTACAAGCTGTTGCCCCATTCAGGACACAACAGGATGGGCTTTGAGATCAGCCCCACCGAGGCGTGGATCAATGCCCTTTTTGTCCCAACAGGTGATGGTAGACACAGAATCCACTGGGCTCCGGTCTCAGCCCCACCAGGTCTTATCTGAGAGCACAGCACTGGCAGCGGTTCCGGGCAAGAAGCAGATTGATTGGGCTGTGCTGCAGAATCACAAAGGACTTGATGTGTTTTCCTAGAGACTGATTTGAGCAGGGCTTGGGCCAATGGCTAGGATTCCAACAGTCATGGGAAAGAGTGGGAATCAGGTATGGAAAAATACCCATGGATCTAAAGAATATACCATGGCTGGGCTGGAGGCTCTCTCCTGAGAAATGCCTGCAGTACAGTTTTATCTGATCATGCCACTTGGATGTGTCTCTTGGGACACATCTTGATAAGCGTAAAACTAGAAGATTAAATAAAAGTTGTTCTAAAAGTATTGCTTTTTTCTTTGGGGGCACATGGAAAACACCTCGTGCTCTCTATTTGTCCTGTAACCTGATGTTCTTTCAGAGTAGTTCTCTTTGACAAAAAGATAGCATTCTCATGAAAATAAACTGCAGATGTAGTAGTGGTAACAGTAACAGTCATAAAAATGCCATCAGTAAGATGTGGGGCAGAAGGGCTCTTTCAGGATGGAGAATAAGCAACTCCACCAAAACAGCCCCACAAACCATCAACCAAAAAAACCCAAAACACAACAAAAAAAACCCCACAGAAACAAAAAAACAAAAGGCTCCTACAATTAATAAACACAAAAACACCCCCCCCCCAAAAAAAAAAATCCCCAACCAAAAAGACAAAACTCCAAAGCCAGTCTATTTCTGTGAGGTGTTTTTGCTCTGATGACTGGTTGGAAGTCAGGAGTCTAAGGAGAATTTAGGAAGCTAAAAATTCTGTTCAGTGTGGCCACTAGCACACAGGATTTGCCTAGATCATTTGCTAGGTCACAGCCTTCTGCTGATCCAAGAACAATCCTTGCTTCAGCCTTTAGTGGAGAGGGAAGCTCAGGCAAACCCAAGCCAGTCCGAGGTGCCCTCAGAGGCAGCAGGAACACCCAGAGCGCTCTCTCGCTGCCTCGGAGCACAGCACTTCCTCTGGGGAGTCCTAAATGGCCCTGTGACACCAAACTCAGGAGGAGCATTTGGTACAGCTCTGCTGACACCTGCACACAATGCACTGTCCCTCAGACAAGAAATCCCCCAGACGTACCCAGCATCTCCAGGTACTTCTCCTCAGTCTCCTGTTCCAGGGAGATGAAGGAACTGCCCCAGCTTGAGCTTCCAGGTTTGACAGAAAGGCTTCCTCGAGATGATGCTCCTGCGGCAGCAGGTTCCAAGCCCAGGATGTGCTGCACTTGGAGCATTTCTGGTGGGCACTGTTCCTGTGCCTCACTCCAAACTTGGGGCTCTTCATTGCCAGACATTCGCTGGAAGTCTTCGCAGGCTGCCCGGTGAGACGTCAACACTTGCACCTCAAGTCAAACACAACAAAGCAGTCAGACACTACAGCTTGTCCCTGTCAGCCAGGAGTCATTGACTGTGAGAAAAGGGAAAGAACAGATTGACAGAGGATACAGACAGCTTGTTCCAATCCTCCATCTGGGTCACCACATTCCGCTGCAAAAACACCTCAAGAAACAAGGAGAGCAGGAACAGGCCAGCAGGAATCAATTTGGATGACTGCTGGCCAAAAGGCCAAAGGACGAGTTTCACTGTCAAGGGCAGCAGTGGAGATTCAGTGCACCAGGAAATGTCCTTCAGAGCGACTGTGATACACACTACAGCAGGATCAGAGGCATGGCCCCACTCCCTGCTGCTCTGAGTGGAAAGGCAAGAAGGGCAGAAACCACCAGCTTGGTGACTGCAGTGACTGCATCCCTCTTTCACTCACTTCTAGAGCCTGAGGGAGGCGATTAAGTTTCTCTCGGAAAATTTTCATTTCTTCCTCCAGCCTCTTTTCCCTTGCCTTGTTGCTAGCCTCAGAGTCCTGCAGTTCTGCCTGCACGTGTCCCTTGATAGACTGTAAAGGAGAAGGGAGAGGACATTTCATGAGTGGAGTGGCTGCCACTCTTTCACTCATCTGGTTTTGTTGATTGCCCCCTCTGCCGATAGAGATTCTCCTCTTGAATTCTACTCATGTCTTCCTTGTTCTTTCTCTTCACTGCCATGATGGCACTCTGAGCTTCTGCTCCGCAGAAGGGCAGCTCTGCTTGTGGCTCTGCTTTAATATTCTGTACACATAAATGCAGAGCAAGTGACTGGGAGCTGCCATCAGACTCAGCTTTTTCCTCTTGCAGCCTCAAAATCACATTTATTCAGCCCCTTCTTTCTGCTTCCCTCCCCACATCTGCTTCCAGTGTAAGCCTCCTGTCCCAGGGCTGATCTCTGCAGATTCCAAGGCTCTGTCCTTTCAGTGCCTGTGGGACTCCTGGCCTCCTCAGTCCCAAGAGCTCTGCTTTATGCCCCTCTCCCTGCCCTTCCCTCTGTCCCCTGGCCAGTCAGGCTTACCTGGCCATTCTCCTGTGGCTCTTCCACCTGCTGCCTGAGCTGCTCTTCCTGCTCTCGCGCTGGGAACAGCTCTCCCTGAGTCTGCCATGGCATCTCTGATGAAGCAATCTGTTCCTGCTCTTTCTCTAGAAGGACCTGCACAGAAAGCAAGAGAAGATGGGTTTCAACTTCCCACGCGACCTTTGTGGGCCAAGACTCAAAGACTGCTGGGCTCACACGTTCCCAAAGCACTGTGCTGCTGCTCTGCTGGGTCATTCTCTGTTTGAGGGGAGGCACAGATTCCAAAGTGACCCTGGCCCTACAATCAGGGGCCATCTGAGACTGAAGCTCCAACAGCCTCTCAGGCAGCTGACAGGGAAGGTGTGGCATTTCTCAAGGGTCTGCTGAGGGCCTCCCTCTGCTTCTGCCATGTCCTGTTTGTCTTTCAGTAGTGACTGACACCCCACCCTCTCCCACAGCTCCATCCTGGCTCTGCAGCTGGCTTCCTGGGTGAGCTCAGCCCTTGTGAGAGACACTTCTGGAGTTCAAGTTCATTTCAGGCCTGCACCAGCATTCCTGCCTGTCTGACATCTACACTCTTGTTAGAAAACTGGGTCATTCAGGAGATGAGGATGACTGCAAAGATCTTTGATGGAGGTCACAGAGCCTCTATGGCCACCTCAGTATATGGAAGAGGACCAAGGTGTTTCTCCTCCCTCTTTTGTCAGCTGAGAATTCTGACCAGCAGAAACAGAGACTCTCCTAAGGCCCCATTAACAAATGCACTGACACAGCCCTGGGGATGCCAGTGAAGGAAACCATGTGTCACGTATGGCATGGCATGTATGACCAGAGTCACCAAACACCACCTAAACATGGAATTGTTCCACCTCTTTAGGACAGGCAGAAATTTAACAAATTAACTGAGGACTTCAGGGCACAAGAGGCTGGAGGAGGAAAACAACTCTAAAGGGAAAAACCAACATATCTGGAGGGGGAAACATCTCTGCCTGCTCAGAATCGGTCAAGGGAACATGTCTCTAATCCTCTCCTGAGAGGGATGAATTAGGTGACCTTTACACCTCCAACTGCTTTGGACCAGAGCCAGGAAAATTCAATTATGGAAATGTTACATAGATAGATAGGTAGGAATATAGGCAGAGAGATCTCACTACTATAATCTCCCTTTACTGTCCTCTCTGTAGCTGCACACATCAAAACTTGGTAGCCAGTGCCCCGATCACCCGCAATCCTGAGATTGCTCCCTGTTGCTTCAGAAAAGCACACTCTTGGGGAATTTGGAGTGTGTAGGTCCTTATGGAAAGGGATCAGACCCAGAGCATTGCACTGGGAACTGAACTCTTTATGCGTCTGTGCTCGGGAAAGTTCTCTTGGACTCAAGCACACTGATGGTGCTAAAGTGGCTGAAATCAGAAATTAGGCCCACGCACTCCCCACAAGCGCTGTGATCTCTGAGGAGCAGCTGGAATGAAAGGGCATTGACCTCCTGCTCAATTCCCTAACACAACACACACTGATTCCCCAGGCTGCAGAAAGTCACAGACACTGTAAAACTCAAAATAATCTTTAAGGCCATGCGTGAATGCCTGCAAACACAAAAGCTCCATAAGGATCAAGGTCCAAAAAGGGTGCAGAATGCCTTCAAGAGCTTGATCAGAGCAGGAATGATGGTACAGAAGCATCCTTGCTTGCTGGAAAAAGAGAAAATGAATGGGCCTTCTCCTCCTAGGAAACCCACAATCCACAAGTTGGGAAGTGTCAGCTACTCCAGTGTCTAAAGCACTTGGATGCAGTGATGCCATGTTTCGCAGAGAAACAGCCCTTGTGCTGAGCACTGTCATGCAGGGATCGATGGAAGTCTGCCTGGAGGTCCCTCAAGAGCCTCCCATTGTCCAGGCTAAAGCTCCCTCAGCACCTCCTCACTGGCCTTGTGCTGCACGCCCTTGCCCAGCTCCCCTGTCCTTCTGTGCACGCGCTGCAGCCCCTCAAGGACTTTCTGCTGCCCGGGGGCCCACAAGTGCACCCAGCACTGCAGCTGTGGCCCCAGCGCTGCCCAGCACAGGGCCACGCTCACTGCCCTGCTCCTGCTGCCCCACTGCTGCTGACACAGGCCACCATGCCCTGGGCCTTCTTGGCCACCTGGCCACACGCTGCCTCATCTTCAGCTGATCAAGGCCGCCAGCAACCCTGGCTCCTTTTGGCCCACGCAGCTCCCCAGCCGCAAAGGTGCTCATTTCACTTCAGATACAGCAGGCACCATTGCAAGATGGCCTTCCTGTTCTGAGCAACACAAGACAGCAGTCAAGGACTTGCAGCTTCACCCCCACTCTGGGCTCCAATGCACTTGCCACAACTGCAGACATCACCACTAAATGGATCAGCAGAAACTTGCCCCTTCTGCTGTTTGCACCTTCTCAAAAGTCAAAAGGCAAATGGGCCAACAGTGATTCTACAAGTGAAGAACGACTCAAGAAAACTGCAGAACACTTCCGCAAGCCAAAGACACCTTTCCAAAAAGAGAAAAGAATCAAACAAAGCCTTTTGACCTCCAGCACTAGCACGTGAGCCCTTGGCCATGACACCGCAGAAGCCCAGAGATGGAGCTTCCCTGAGCCAAGCAGCCAGAAGCTCCGCCGGAGCCCCGAGCTTTACGCTGGCCCAACAGGACAGGTCAAAGGCCAATTTCTAGCTGTCACTGCCTGCAGGAAATGGCTACGTCCCGCAGGACTCCAGCACTCAGCATCCTGGGCCAGACACAGCAAGTGCTCGCTGCTCAGAAACTTGCACCTCTGCCTTGCACTAAAGATGGCACCCCTCACAACAGGCACTTACTCTCTTAGAATGATCAGCAGGCTGTGATGTGACCACGGCTGGACGCCTGCCGTAATCCTCTGGCTCATTTTCTTCCTCTCTGGCTTCTTCTGCAATAGCAGGGAGAGCCAGGGGAAAGTTGGCTCTTGCTCTTCTCACCTGTGGCAAGAGACAATCACAGGGACAGGCCGTTACCTAACGCTTATAAGCCCATTTCTCTTCATATCAACAGCCACATCTTCTAAGGAGAAATCATCAACTTGGTTAGCAATGGCATTCAAAATCACTCCAACCAGATTGAAATGGCCACATTCAACAGAAGAGTATAAGGCTATGCATTCAATATTCCTCCCTGGCTGCTATTTGCCAGCAAGGTTGTCTCTGCAAAAGGCAGCTTCTGGTTCTTGAAAGCTCTGAAATGGAAAAGTAGGAAAGAGCCAGCAAGGCCTTTGCTACTGCTGCTGTAGACATGGAAAACCAGAAGGGGTTCAGAATCCTTTCCAGTGCTTATAAGCACAGGAAAGTTTGCACAGAAGCATCCTTGCTTGCTGGAAAAAGAGAAAATGAACGGGCCTTCTCCTCCTAGGAAACCCACAATCCACAAGATGGGAAGTGTCAGCTACTCCAGTGTCTAAAGCACTTGGATGCAGTGATGCCATGTTTCGCAGACAAACAGCCCTTGTGCTGAGCACTGTCATGCAGGGATCGATGGAAGTCTGCCTGGAGGTCCCTCAAGAGCCTCCCATTGTCCAGGCTAAAGCTCCCTCAGCACCTCCTCACTGGCCTTGTGCTGCACGCCCTTGCCCAGCTCCCCTGTCCTTCTGTGCACGCGCTGCAGCCCCTCAAGGACTTTCTGCTGCCCGGGGGCCCACAAGTGCACCCAGCACTGCGGCTGTGGCCCCAGCGCTGCCCAGCACAGGGCCACGCTCACTGCCCTGCTCCTGCTGCCCCACTGCTGCTGACACAGGCCACCATGCCCTGGGCCTTCTTGGCCACCTGGCCACACGCTGCCTCATCTTCAGCTGATCAAGGCCGCCAGCAACCCTGGCTCCTTTTGGCCCACGCAGCTCCCCAGCCGCAAAGGTGCTCATTTCACTTCAGATACAGCAGGCACCATTGCAAGATGGCCTTCCTGTTCTGAGCAACACAAGACAGCAGTCAAGGACTTGCAGCTTCACCCCCACTCTGGGCTCCAATGCACTTGCCACAACTGCAGACATCACCACTAAACGGATCAGCAGAAACTTGCCCCTTCTGCTGTTTGCACCTTCTCAAAAGCCAAAAGTCAGTTAGGCCAGAAGTGAGTCTGCAAGTGAAGAACGACTCAAGAAAACTGCAGAACACTTCCGCAAGCCAAAGACACCTTTCCAAAAAGAGAAAAGAATCAAACAAAGCCTTTTGACCTCCAGCACTAGCACGTGAGCCCTTGGCCATGACACCGCAGAAGCCCAGAGAGGGAGCTTCCCTGAGCCAAGCAGCCAGAAGCTCCGCCGGAGCCCCGAGCTTTACGCTGGCCCAACAGGACAGGTCAAAGGCCAATTTCTAGCTGTCACTGCCTGCAGGAAATGGCTACGTCCCGCAGGACTCCAGCACTCAGCATCCTGGGCCAGACACAGCAAGTGCTCGCTGCTCAGAAACTTGCACCTCTGCCTTGCACTAAAGATGGCACCCCTCACAACAGGCACTTACTCTCTTAGAATGATCAGCAGGCTGTGATGTGACCACGGCTGGACGCCTGCCGTAATCCTCTGGCTCATTTTCTTCCTCTCTGGCTTCTTCTGCAATAGCAGGGAGAGCCAGGGGAAAGTTGGCTCTTGCTCTTCTCACCTGTGGCAAGAGACAATCACAGGGACAGGCCGTTACCTAACGCTTATAAGCCCATTTCTCTTCATATCAACAGCCACATCTTCTAAGGAGAAATCATCAACTTGGTTAGCAATGGCATTCAAAATCACTCCAACCAGATTGAAATGGCCACATTCAACAGAAGAGTATAAGGCTATGCATTCAATATTCCTCCCTGGCTGCTATTTGCCAGCAAGGTTGTCTCTGCAAAAGGCAGCTTCTGGTTCTTGAAAGCTCTGAAATGGAAAAGTAGGAAAGAGCCAGCAAGGCCTTTGCTACTGCTGCTGTAGACATGGAAAACCAGAAGGGGTTCAGAATCCTTTCCAGTGCTTATAAGCACAGGAAAGTTTGCACAGAAGCATCCTTGCTTGCTGGAAAAAGAGAAAATGAACGGGCCTTCTCCTCCTAGGAAACCCACAATCCACAAGATGGGAAGTGTCAGCTACTCCAGTGTCTAAAGCACTTGGATGCAGTGATGC